GATCTCCAGCCTGCAGATGGTCTGTTGTGGGACTTCTCAGTTACTATACTTGCATGGGCTGACTCACCCAATATATTCCTTCTTTTATATCCATATAATCCTATTTGTTCTGTCTCCTTAAAGAATCCATATTAACTCAGTCAGCACATTCCATTTTGAAATGAAAAAAAAAATTTTTTTAAGAACTTTATTTATTTTTTTTAACATACCGGTAGGCAGGCAAATCTAATTAAAAGTAGTTTTTGTGGGACAAGCAGTTAACGTAATGGCTATGTCACTGGACTTCCATGTAGTCGACCATGGTTCCAGTCCTAGACCCAGTGGCTTAAACTCACGCAGGGCACATGTGCATGCGTGCCCAAGGTCCCGAGAGGAGAATGGAGGAGCAGGGATTATGGCATGGCCATCTCCCCTGGGGGGGTGATTTCTCACTTTCTGTCTCTCTGTCTCTCTCTGTCTTTCTGGCAAGTGCACACACCCTCTAGCAAAAACCTCTCCAAAAAAAAAAAAAAGGTAGTTTTTGTGGGACCAGCAGATGGTATAACTGTTATGTCACTAGACTCCCACGTAGTTGACCATGGTTCAAGTCCTGGATACAGTAGTTTAACACTCGCAGCAGGTGTGTGTGTGTGTGCATGCCCAAAATTCCAAGACAAGAAGGGGAAAGGATTGTGGCATGGCCTTCCTCCAGTATGACTTCTCACTTTGTTTCTCTCCGGCGAGCACATGCACTCTATAGCAAAAACCTCTCTTTAAAAAAAAATTTTTAAAGTTTTTGTTAAATATAGAAATAAATATTTGACTTCACTCAGTTTTAGGTATTTCCACATTAAGATTATCTGGAGGGGGAACCAGCAGTTAGCGTAATGGCTATGTCGCTGGACTCCCACGTAGTCGACCGCGGTTCGTGTCCCGGACCCGGTGGCTTAAAACTCACGCCGGGCGCGTGTGCGTGCGTGCCCAAGATCCCGAGAGGAGAATGGAGGAGAAGGGATTGCGGCGTGACCATCCCCCCTGGGGGGTGATTTCTCGCTTTCTGTCTCTATGTCTCTCTCTCTGTCTGTCTGGCGAGCGCACGCGCCCTACAGTGAAAATCTCTCCCCCCCCCCAAAAAAAAAAAAAAAAAAAGAGTATCTGGAGGGACTTCTGTTTGCAAGACTTCTTTGTTTCAGCCTCTTCTTGATTCTACATTTGTACTTAGATTAATCTCTGTTTTTTGGTGACTAGTAATACCACTGAAGCAGAAACTTTTAACTGGCTTTGATAAATTCATGAACCCCCTCCCGCGAGATTATTTGAAAAATCTGTGAGATTATATGTTATTACACGACAAATGATCACTTTTGGGAAATCTCTATTCAAAAATCACAAATTTTAAAATGAAGAGTGACATGTCATTAGGTTGCATATGCCTATGTGCGTTACATTCACAAACTTTCACTATTCCACCATTCATAAGATAGAGGAGGAAGGAAAATAAAGGACATATGAGACATGGGTTATCATAGTATTTATATCCTATATATAAGAATAAAGTGGCTTTTAGATTCCAAGCTGAACATCTCAAAGAAAGAGATACAAATTTAAATATCACTATAACATCTTTTTAAACTAAAAATAGGAAAAACAGAGGTCCACTTCATATAATGGAGTTTAAGGACTGCAAATAACAGTAGCCATAACAAAATCTCTCCTAGTAATATAGTAAAAAGGATAAAAGCTAGCACCTTGGAAAAATATCACATGCTGACATAACTATACAAAGGAATTTACAAGTCAGTCATGTCATGTGAGAAATGGCAGAAATAACTAGGAATGTTTATACTGGAAGAGAAAAAACTCAGAGTAAACATAAAGTGCTTTCAAATATCTCATGAGGAAAGAAGAAAAAATTATTCTATGTAATTCCTAAGAGAACTAGTATCACTTTATGAAAATTAGAGAAAAGCAAATGTTGTCTCAATAGAATGGCTAATTTAGGAAGACATACACAACCTACATCAGGTAGCAGGGATTTTGGATGACTTATCAGGGCTGCTACAAAAGGGAGTTCTGTTAGACTCGATTTTTTTTAATTTAAATTTATTTATTTACATTAATTTACTATACATCATTATAGCATACAAAATGAGATTTTCTATCCAGAATACATTATATAATGGCTCAATCAAGCACATCAACATACATGTTATCGTCAATAAATAATTTTCCATTTCTTGTTTACTGTATATTTTGCTTTTCTTTCCATCCTTGATTTCCTATCTCTCACCTTCTGCCATCTCCCACCCTCCTCCCACACTGTCTCTAGTATCCATGGTTGTTTTCTATGCCTTTTTCGCCCCACATTTAATTGATTCACTAAAGATCTTAATTAATCTAAAGATTTTCAATAGCAAGCGCAGCTGATAAATAGATATCCATAAACACAAGTCTGACTTTAGGCATAAACCTCAGTGAGTAGAATGAACATACTATAAAGTAGCACCTAGCTGGTGCTATATAGCTTACTGCAGTCATCAAATAGTATTTTTAATGCATTTTTTTAATTTCAAGAAAAACAGTTTTTGTGTTTTTTCTGAAACATTTTTTTAAATTAATTAATTTAATTTCATTCCCTAAGCATCGTCACAGCATACAAAATGTGATTTCCCATCCAGAACATGCTGAATAGTGTCTTAATCATGCATGTTATCATCAATAATTTTCCATTTCTAGTTATACACACACACACACACATATATATGTATGTATATGTGTATATATATATATATTTTTTAACCCCTATTTCTGACCGCCTGCCCTTTCCAACCCTTTCTCACACTATCTCTGGTGTCTACATGTCTTCCATTCCTTCCCCCTCCCATATTATTGATCACACAATTTCCTAAATAATTTAACTACTTTCAATAGCAAGTTCGGCTGGTAATTTCAAGAAAAGCAGTTTTAATTTTAATAAATCAAAGAAATGCTAAGAAACTTTGCTTAAAACTTAAAGTCAGGAAACAGGTTAAGATTCTGTTCAAAGAGTAGGTACATGAACCTATCGACAGTTCAAGACAGGACAAAAATCTTTAAAACTGGACAACAAAGCCTAGAAGAAAATCAGCAACATTTTAGTCAAAAGTCATAAAATGTTATTTCACCAGTTCAGTCTCATGTACTTAATCTATCTTCTGTTGTGGTT